TCTTCCTACCAATGTGACCAAGTTGCAAAAAAAGGTCAAACAACTGCTAAAAAAGCATAGTCTAATTGTTTGTGTTCAAGATCAGAAAATTAAGATTGTCATTAGCCTTGATACTCCAAATAAGTTAGGCTTAAGCGATATTGGCAATAGTTTTTCTATGATTTTGCTAAATAGTCAGTCGTTACATATATTCGATCACCAATATACATAAGTGCCTTTATTATTTAATCCTAAAAACATTATAACTTACTCTTCCCACCCCTTAGAGATCATATAATGTGAGCTAGCTGATTTCTCATCGGTGTCCGTCACCTGAGCTAATGATGAAGCAAGAGAAATAGAATATTTGCTATCTGACGATTCTCCTATTTGCCTTGTACAGGCAGCATCGATGTCGACTTCCCGAGTAATCTGCCCCTTCATGGATATCTCCGGTGACCCCAGAATTGTTCTTGATACTATATTGGCAGAAGTCGATGTTGGAATAGTGGTTACAGCTAAGACGGTTTTGGTGGCAGTTGGATAAATAGAGCTAGAGAGAGCATTTGAGAGAAGGCGGTGTCGATGGGCAGCTAAATCAGCTGGTCTATCAGTCTCGGGCCCTGGAGCCTCAGCAGTCTCCATTTCTAGATCGGTAGGCGGAGGAGGTAGTGAAGCTGCAGCCTGTAGAAGCTCGCTGACGATAATACGGGAATCTCCTGGGTGTGCGCATTAACGTGCATGCGTGTATAATACAAATCAGAATCTAAGTTAATTTGTAAAATAAAGATAAGTGGATAAAATAAGACAAAATATGTTAGGTAGCCATAAAAATAGACAACTACATATCAGTAAAAGGAATAAATATATTTGACATTAAGCCAGTTTGAAGCCCTGATTACGTACAAGATGTAATCATTCCAAACCCAGTGACTTCTTTTAAAGTCATTTAGTTCAAAAGAACAATATGGTTAAGTGAGATTGTAATAATAAATATGACTCAATTAAAAATCAAAGAATGGTATGGGTGGTGTTATAAGTTATCAGAACAGTTTCAATACAACTAAACTAAAATGGGTCGCCTTGATATTTGGCTTCAAATGGACAAGAAAATCATTATAAATGAAAAAGGCAGAACAAATTCACTGCAAAAGATGGGACAACTCGCTCCAACTAAAACTACGCAGTTGATAACCCTCAGCACGTTGAAAATGTATTAATAGTTTAATATACCAATGAACTATTCACTTAAAATATTGTCGAATTGTCCCAACAGAACGCACATGCAAAATTGAATTCAATATACAATGCCTTGAAGGTAGCGCTAAGGTGCCACAAAATGGCCAAAGGTAAATATTATCGACGACGTTTAAGATCTAATTAAAATGTTGCGATAAGGAATATGCCTAGGAAAAGAAGCTAAGTCGAATCTGAATAGGAAAGCTCTTTGCAGAAGCTCCACAGGCGGCATATGCAACCAGTGAAGGTGATTATACTTCACTAAATCCACTTGAAACGAAGCACTCTTAGCTGACATTTGAGGAAACGAGAACACAGCGTGAATAGATTAATGGGTTATATGAAGTGGGGTTAAGATAAATAGATGCAGCACTAGAAGGTAGGACAAAGACTAGGAACGAGAAATAATGCCACAATGATTGGACAGAAAATTAGTCAAGGGGATTGTCTTCACTTGTCACTGATGAATTGATACTCTGTGCTAACGATGGCGCCTCTCATTGATGCCGGCGAAACGTCTGGGAATCTACCAAGTCAATAGCCTGATACTGGAAATCATAAATACCATGGCAGAGGATCAGGACTAGGTACGTTCAACAAAATCTCTCTGTTGTCC